TTCTTCTTGTTCCTCTTCTTCTTCTTCTTCTTCTTCTTCTTCTTCTTCTTCTTCTTCTTCTTCTTCTTCTTCTTCTTCTTCTCTCTCTCTCTCTCTCTTTCTCTCTAAAAATGAGGGCTGGAAAATGTAGAGGAACACACCACTGTGTCAGTGGGAGCAGGAGGCAGGGTAAGATTCTAAAATCGGTTCCATTTTCCTTTCCCACCTCCCTCTGAGAAGGTCTCCTCGCCCCAACCTCGGCTCCTCAGAGGTCCCCAACATATTGCTCAGGTGCTAGAGGTGCACGGGCACAGAAAGGGACATGGAAGGAAAGAGGCACCCAGGACTCCGTCCACAGGCAGTTTGGTACATGCTCTTATTCTGTGACGATTTCTTTTTACAGGGTGACGATCGCAGACATGTACAATTTTTGTTTCTTTGTTTGCATTTAACAGCAGACAGCATATGCATTCTGACGTGACACTCACAGTTCTGCATAATTATTATCCTGAACAGCGTCATTAGTCTCCTGGCCTACATCTGCTTGTTGTTGACATAAGCCCGTGATGGCGAACCTATGACACACGTGTCAGAGGTGACACGCGAACTCATTTTTTTGGTTAATTTTTCTTTGTTAAATGGCATTTAAATATATAAAATACATATCAAAAATATACATTTTTGTTTTACTATGGTTGCAAATATCAAAAAATTCCTATATATGATATGGCATGAGAGTTAAGTTAGGGTTTTTCAAAATGCTGACACGACGAGCACAAAAGGTTCCCCACTACTGATAAACCATGGAGTAATTTGGGACAGGTTCCGCATTTCCACTGTTTTGCTATGACAGATAATGTTGTGTGGGGCGCAGCTACAGTGTTTTGCACAGGTTCAAGCCTTGGACTGAGGAGAGGACACAGTCCTCTCATTGCCACGTGCAAGTCCCAGCTTGGATACGCCCCTACTTTTCCTCCTGGCATCTGCTATAAAATAAAGACACGGCTTGTGGGCGCTGGCGCTGTCTCCTCACCAGGGAAGCAGTTTCCCACCGAGACTCAGCTTTCATTCTCATGTCTGTCTTTTCTAAGCCTTTCACCACCCCCACTCAGGGTCACTGAACCAGACTGAGCTGGCATGGCACATAAGGCGCCCTGGGGCTGAGTATGCCATGGCCGTGCCGGCTCCCCACAATGTTGTGATGAATTCAAACCTTGCCCATGTTTCAGATTGACCAGCATTCCTATGTAAAAAGCAATGAATGAGATTCCGGACTCAGCTTGCCTAACTTGTGTCATAAAAATTGTTCTCCACTTCCCCTGGAGAAGATGGCCGGGGTCTCCCCGCATCTTCACCAGCACCAATGTTTCTGTGTTTGATGTTTAGCTCATAGGTTTTTGCAAATTTTTATTAGAATGTTGTTGACGGTTTCATACGACTTTGAAAATGATCAAGTCAAATACGGCTGCAAGTCAGGGATGTCTTTATTTCTGGGAAGGCCCTGTTCAGGGCATAGGGATGGAGGATGAAAGCATGGAGAGATTAGGAATTGGCTTTTATGGTTTTATACACCCATTTGCGGTACATGCATAGGCGGGTGTATATCACTGGCTCAAAGGGCGGGGTACAAGGGAAATAGCCGGAGGACACCAGGCCTTGCAGGGAACCTTCACAAATCAGCGGATTCCCGGAGTCACCCTGGAGGGGAGAGAGCAGATTAGCTTTGATTTCAAAATAACCAGCAATGAGGCCCCACAGACACCAGGCTTCTCAGGCCTTTATCCCTCTAGAACACAGCCTTCCACCTTGGCCAATGGGAAGAGACCCATTGTCTTTGGGGTCCAATGGCAGAGCAGCAATGAATGCTAGCAAGGAGAGGACCAACCAGGTTTTTGGAAACATTTGCTTGAGCCCTAGTCAATCACAGGGAGAGGGCAGGACTTCAAGGAAGTCAGAGCCCCAGTTATTTGTCAAGCCCCTGGAGAGGAAGCATTACCTCCAGAGTGTCCCATACATTGCCTTTCCCAGGGATGGGGGACAGGGTAGTCCTAAAAACCAGGGGCGGGACCAATGCCCTAATTTACAGGCTCTAGTGCAAAATAAAAGTTTGGATCACCAGGTTCAAATATAGGAAGCTTAAGAACAGCAAGTGCGTTCAATAAGTGCGGGACTGTCTCTAGGTTGGGACTCTGTGTCCCTGCACAGTTTGCAGAATTATGAATGAGGTCTCAGTGGGGGACCAGGGCAAACCCCACATTTTTGGGCCATTCAACCCTGTCCCATCACCTCTCTTTCTACCACTCACCATTTCACCATCCCTGAAAGTTGAGAGTGCAGATGTGAGCAAAGATAGTGGGAGTACAAAGAGGCAATGGATGAAAGAGAGAGAGAGAGAAGGACGGAGGGAAGAAGAAAGGGAAGGATGAAGGTGACAGAGAAGCAGAAGGTTGGGGGTAAGGAATGAGGCAGAGATGGAGAAAAACAAAATTACTGAGGTTGGGGAGAGAGGGAGGGTGGGAGAGAGAGGTAGAGAGAGAGAGAGAGAGAGAGGGAGAGATCACAACACAGAGAGAACACAGAGGGAACCAGGAAGTGAAATGAGGTGTGAGGACCTAGCTGGCTTAGCTCAGTGGAAAGAGCATCTGCTTGTGGACTGAAGGGCCCTGCGTTCAATTCCAATCAAGAGCACATGCCTCGGTTGCAGGCTTGATCCCCAGGAAGGGCATGCAGGAGTCAGCAGATGTATGATTCTCTCTCATCATTGTTGTTTCTATCTCTCTCTCCCTCCCCACTCCTCTCTGCAATCAATAAAAGTATTAAAAATAAAAAGATATGAGGTGTGAGGAGAGGTGAGGGGAGAGGGTTCTGAGCGTCAGAGAGGAGGCTACAGAGATGAGGAAGGGAGAACAAAGATGAGGGGCTCCTTCTTTCTTCGGAATTAGAAGTGGCTGCCTACTGCACGCCCCCTACTTGGGCTTGAGCCTGCTACTTGAGCATGTGCCTTTGACTGGAATCAAACCTGTGACCCCTCAGTCCTCAGGCCTATGCTCGATCCTCTGAGCCAAACCGGCTAGGGCGGTATTCCCGTTTTGGATGAAGACTGGGTCATTACTGAACCACAGTGCTGTTCTGAACCACATAGAAGCCCATGGCAAATGGAAAATCCAGCCCATTCTGGTTGCTTCTTTTGTTGAAAATTCTGATGCTTTGCTCATCATGGATTATTTTTTAAATATTTCATGGGAATATGATATTTCCTGGTCACTGAGCTGTTGGTGTGCCCTTAAAGCTTGTGCTCATAGCCATGGCCCCACTGCCCTCCCCATAGTCCCAGACCCATTCCCACCCCCAGTTTCTATCCTTCAGCTTTGTGCCCGGCCCCAAGGCCACGCAGGCGCCCGTGGGCTCCCACCCTGACCTGGGCAGAGAACTGAGTAGAAAGAGCCAGGAAACTGGGGCTGGTAAGGTGTGAGGGAAGGCTCAGCACCAGGGTCAGGCCCTGGGACACTGGATGGAGGGAGAGACAGGGGAGGAGGGGACTCACTTTGCAGCAGTAGGAGAGCCCGTCGGGGGGAGCCGCACAGAGCATGTATTTTTTCAACACGGTCGGGTAAAACTTCTTGCAGTCCTGGTAGGAGACGAGGTTGACATTCGAGCACATGAGCTGTGATGGATTTGTTTCTGCTGGAGAAGTTGGGGGGGTGGGGAATCAGAGGCTGGGTCCTTTGGACCTGTGGGTGCTGCTGTAAAAGAATGGGGACCCTGGACATGGAAGGAGGAGGAGCTGGGTGACCCAATACGATGGTTATGAAAAGGGTCCTATTTCTTGGACTTCCGGGTCTTCGGAAGGAAGGGAACTATGTCTGAACTCCTGGGTTTGAACGTACTGTGCAGAGTGGCCCCCTTATAGCACACCTGCCCCGCTCCAACTCTCAGGGTCCTGGAGTTCAGTGAACCCAGCTCTGGGGTTACCTTCCCCTTATTTGCTCTGATCTGGAACCCGGAGGCAGCTAAACCCATATGCCCGCACTCTACCTCCCCCCTCATTCCTGAGGCCAGGCCAGGGGGTTGGCCCCCCACACATTCCAGCTCCACCCTCCCTAATGGCATCTACCAAGGGAGGGACAAGGTGCTGTCATTGAGGGAAACCTCCTGGGGAGAGCGGAGCTGGGGGCAAGGTCTCCTTTCGTCCGAGGGAGAAGGTGCCTGAAGGCCAAGACTCCCGGTTCTGAGGGTGGAAGTGGTTGGGAGCCTAAACACTTGGTTCTGCGTGAAGTGGTGACTGGGGTTCTAAACTCCTGGGTCTGCGGGATGGGTCCTGGAGGAATGTATGTCTAAAGGTCAGGCTTCCTGATCTGACGGTGCAGGGCCTGGGGGTCTGGCTTCCTGGGTCTGAGAACGGAGTTGTTTGGGGAGGGGGGGCATGTCTGGAACCTTGGGTCTGTCCCCTGTGTCTGAGGCCTGAGGAAGAAGGGAGCTGGGACCTTGATGACTGGGGTCGCAGGGGTAACTTCACCTCCATCCGCGGTGGTGACGCCCCAGCCAGACACAGTACAGCTTGTCTCAGGGGCTTTGGTGCCAGACGGTAGGTCGATTGTCCTCACAGTGGGCGAGAGCCTGGCCGGGCGGCTCAGCTTCACCAGCATGATGTCATGGTTATCGGTGCGGTTGTCATACCGGGGGTGGATGAAGGACTCTGTGGCCCTGATCCTCTGGGCACGCCCATCAACCCGAAGATCACTACCCATTTGCACAATATACTCACTTAAAAAAAAAAAGTAATGATCACAGGGTGACACTGTGATTGAGGCTCCACCCTCCCTAATGGCATCTAGAGAGAGAAAGAGAAGGACCCAGGGAGAGAGAGAGAGAGAAAAAGAAGGACCCAGAGAGAGACATGGAGTGGCACTGGCTGCCCTGTCCCATACCTCTGGTGGCAGTGGGCGACGGTGAGCACCCACTTCTGGTGGACCAGCACACCTGAACATTCGAGCTTATTGTTGTCATACAGGGCCACCTGCCAGGGATGGGAGCCTCTTGGACATACAACTCCATTAATGATCCTCTCTCCGGTATCCTGGGGCCGACAGAGACCGAGAAAAAGCATGGGTAGCAGGCCTCAGGGGATGGATGCCCAGAGACAGTGATGGAGACAGACAGACAGACAGACAGACAGAGAGGCGTGGAGAAGGGCAGAGGCAGACACGGAGCACAGGGCAGAGACAGCTGCAGACGGAGATGGAGAGAACGGAGGGAACCTGCTGAGAAGCCAGGGCAGCAGCTGGTCTGGAGGCCACCGCAGCTTCTGATGAGAGAGACACTCAGGGCGGGAAGCAGCCTGGAGGGCACCCAGAGCCCAGGAGTCAGGAGGGAGCAGGAAGAAAGGGGCCACGGGCCAGGGGGTGAGCCTCCATGGGAGGAGGCTGCTGCAGGGGAGGGTCCTGACTCAGGGGCTCCTTAGAGAGAGGGGGCCTGGAGAGGGGAGGTGGAGGACTGTGAGGCCCAGGGGCAGGGGCAGGACTCCCAGGCTGGTCCTCACCTTCTTCTTCAGCAGATCCCAGGGCGAAGGACAGCAGTAGGAGCAGCAGGGGCTGGAGCAGGGGACCTGCCATGTGCCCTCTCTCAGCCTCTGTGGCTGCCACAGAGGAAGGGCCGCCTGTGCTGGGGCCGGAGAGACAGAGAGTTCAGGAAGCAGGACTCCTGGTCTCCAGGTCCCTTCTCTTTGCTCAGACCCAGGAGCCCCCACCTCCCCCCTCAGACCCAGTAGCCCCAGTCTGCACCCACCTTCTCCCTGGATTCAG